AAGCAGGACTATTAACCCTATGTGGAATGAGGATTTGATGTTTGTAGCAGCTGAGCCATTTGAGGAACCTTTGATTCTCAGCGTGGAAGACAGAGTTGCTCCTAACAAAGATGAAGTTTTAGGGAGATGTGCAATCCCGTTGCAGTATCTGGACAGAAGGTTTGACCACAGACCGGTGAACAGCAGGTGGTATAACCTCGAGAAGCATATCATGGTCGATGGAGAGAAGAAGGAGACCAAATTCGCTAGCAGGATTCACATGAGGATTTGTTTGGAAGGTGGGTATCACGTTCTTGATGAGTCTACACATTACAGCAGTGATCTTAGACCAACAGCGAAGCAACTATGGAAGCCTAACATCGGTGTGCTAGAATTGGGGATCTTGAATGCTACTGGTCTGATGCCTATGAAAGCTAAAGAAGGTCGAGGAACCACAGATGCATATTGTGTGGCAAAGTACGGACAGAAATGGATTCGAACAAGGACAATCATTGACAGCTTTACCCCAAGATGGAACGAGCAATATACTTGGGAGGTTTTTGATCCGTGTACGGTTCTTACTGTTGGAGTTTTTGATAACTGCCATCTCCATGGAGGGGGTGAGAAGAACGGAGGAGCAAAAGATTCAAGAATCGGGAAGGTAAGGATCCGGCTTTCTACTCTCGAGACTGATCGAGTCTACACACACTCATACCCTCTTTTGGTTCTTCATCCCAATGGAGTCAAGAAGATGGGAGAAATTCATTTGGCTGTGAGATTCACGTGCTCTTCATTGCTCAACATGATGTATTTGTACTCAGTGCCTCTCTTACCGAAGATGCATTACATTCATCCTCTAACTGTTAGCCAGCTAGATAACTTGAGGCATCAAGCGACTCAGATTGTCTCGATGAGGCTAACCCGAGCAGAGCCACCTCTAAGAAAAGAAGTAGTTGAGTATATGCTTGATGTGGGTTCTCACATGTGGAGTATGCGGAGAAGCAAAGCAAACTTTTTCAGGATCATGGGAGTTTTGAGCGGGTTAATCGCAGTAGGAAAATGGTTTGAACAGATCTGCAACTGGAAGAATCCGATCACAACAGTCTTGATCCATCTCTTGTTCATCATCCTTGTGCTCTATCCCGAACTGATCTTGCCCACCATCTTCCTCTACCTCTTCCTCATCGGTGTCTGGTACTACCGTTGGAGACCGAGGCATCCGCCTCACATGGACACACGTCTCTCTCACGCTGACTCAGCCCACCCGGACGAGCTAGATGAAGAGTTCGACACTTTTCCTACTTCCCGACCATCTGACATTGTCAGGATGAGGTATGACAGGTTGAGGAGTATTGCTGGGAGGATTCAGACAGTTGTTGGTGATCTTGCAACTCAAGGAGAAAGGCTTCAGTCTCTGCTGAGCTGGCGTGATCCGCGTGCAACCGCAATCTTCGTCTTGTTCTGCTTGATTGCTGCTATTGTTCTCTATGTGACACCTTTCCAGGTCGTGGCTCTTCTAATTGGAATCTATGTTCTGAGACATCCGAGGTTCAGATACAGGCTACCATCAGTTCCTCTCAATTTCTTCAGGAGGCTTCCTGCAAGAACTGATTGCATGCTCTGACCTGAAAAGAAAACTGGCTTTCGATCTCTCAGATATTCCTTGCCATCTTCAAAGAAAATTCCTCCAGGCTGTTAGTTTGTCTTGTTAAAGTCATGACTATTTTCTTGGTGTTATTATTATGATGATGTATTCGTTTGGTTTTAACATTATTAAGACCTTTTGGAAAAACTTTCGTTTTTGAAGTAGTAAAGAAGTTTCTGTGTGGTTTTGATGTTCTCTGTTTTGGTTAGTTTGTCATAGTCTCTTTGTTTGATTGAGTTAGGAGCTTGGTTGCGATGGTGAGATGTGAGGTTAGATAATGGTATGGTCATTTCTTCAACAAACTCATTACAAGTTTGAAGACACAGTGTCAAGTAGAACCAAGTTTTTGTAAGACATACAAAAGAGAATTGGTTTAAGAGTAACTGCAAAGAACATACATTAGATAATAAACAGTAATATGGAAATATGCAGGTTATATGATGACAAAATTTATGTAACAGCTTTGATTAATTAGCACAAATTTATCCAAAATATTCATTTTAAACGGTTGAATAATTTTAGCTTGGACAAAGTTTCGACATACCACGATTTGCTTTTGACTACTAACCAGCCAAATTGTTTTTGAGATGCTTATTCTGCACCCACCATTGAGAAGAGGGAAATAATTAAGCTTACGAACACAAAAGTTAATGGGCCCGGAACTGGTTTGATGGGCCACGTGGAAAATGGGATACGTTACGGCTGAGAGAGAATCTTTTGGTAGCTTTTTTAGGTTTCAATATACTTTCATCGCGTAGGTTTCACGCCAATATCCATTTGACTTTTTCTTTACGCCTTTCTTCGTTATTTAAAGATTTTTATTTAATTATTGACCGGTCAATTCATTAAAGGACCAAAAGAAGTAGGACGAAAGGACATTTATTCGCCGCGAAATCTGGACCGTACAATACTCCGATTACCCTTTCCCGGCTTTAACAAAGGGGCAAATCTGTAACTTCCTTAATTTTTCCCCAATCCCTCTGCCTTGTCTTCTTCTTCCAGTTATATATAGAGAGAGAGAGATTGGAAGAGAGCTCATAGAGGAAAAAAAAAAACAAGGAGAGATAGATAGATAGAAAGGGAGAGACTTACAGCGAAAAAGAGATGGCTAGTGGAATCGCTCGTGGTCGTTTAGCGGAGGAGAGGAAATCGTGGAGGAAGAATCATCCTCATGTCCGTACTCTCTTCTATATTCCTCCATTTTGATTCTGATTTTTGGATTTTGGTTTTCGTTGGTCTTTTGATTACAACTGATGGGATTTATTCGTTTGTTGATGGTGAAATTAGGGTTTTGTAGCGAAGCCAGAGACTGGGCCTGATGGGACTGTGAATCTAATGGTGTGGCATTGCACTATTCCTGGTAAAGCCGGGGTAAGTATAAACTAATACAAATACGAAATTTTTGGGTTGATGCGTTTTCTTATACCTCTGCTTGTGTGTATCAGCTTCCGATTAGTACTAGAAACCAAAATGAAGAAGTAAAGTTAGGGTTCGTGGATTTTGTTTGTCTCTCTTATACGATTTGTGTTATTTTGCTTACACATGAATCTATGGAAAGATTATCTTTTTTTTTTTTGAAAGAGTAGCTGTAAATCTCTTTGTTTATCTTTACTTGTGATGTTCTGAATTGGTGCATAAAATTCTGGTCTTGGAAATGTAATTGAATTTGAACTCTGCTCTGTGACCATGCTTAGCTTTTCAACCTGGTTCATCGCTAATGAGAGTGTTAGTACAAGAGTAATTGCTAATACATCCATTGCTAATGAGAGTGTTAGTACAAGAGTATTGCTAATATCATTCGCTAATGAGAGTGTTAGTAGTTAGTACAAGAGTAATTGCTAATATCATTCTTTAGCTATTATTCATTGCTAATTAAACATGAAACTTCAGACTGATTTGCGAAGGTGGATGATTCTTCCCGTTATTCGTTGTGAATGTTAGTAGAAAGAGTATAGCTGTCATCTCTGAATTGGTGTGTAAAAATTTGGTCTAGAAAATGACATGGAATCTGAGCTCAGCTCCGTATCCTACTTGGATTTAATTGGCTTTTCAATATCTGCAACATGACTGATAAAAGTGATCGCTAGTATCTTGCTTGAACTATTTTTTTTCATAGCTAAATTTACATGACACTGCAGACTGATTGGGAAGGTGGATTCTTTCCATTAACGATGCACTTCAGCGAGGACTATCCAAGCAAGCCTCCCAAATGCAAATTCCCTCAAGGCTTTTTCCACCCTAATGTCTATCCATCAGGAACAGTCTGTCTCTCAATCCTTAACGAGGATTACGTAAGTACTCTTCTGATTTCTTTCTTTGCATTTCTCCCTGACCAAAATCGATATTCGTAATCCTCAAGCTCGCTGTTGATATGGTTATGTTTATAGGGGTGGAGACCAGCCATCACAGTGAAGCAGATTCTTGTCGGTATTCAGGATTTACTTGACACGCCTAACCCTGCTGACCCTGCACAGACTGATGGTTATCATCTCTTCATTCAGGTATATACGCAGCAACAATAGCTCAAAACACGAATTATGGCATAGTTTCTGAAACATTTGAACCAGGAATTGTGACTTCATCTTGATGAGATACAATTTGATTGAAAATGTGCAGGATGCAGCTGAGTACAAGAAAAGGGTTAAGCTGCAGTCCAAGCAGTATCCTCCCATTGTCTAAAACCCCTTTAAAAAGGAACACCAAAACTGATGACAAACTCTGAATCTTTTGTGGTCTTGTGTCGTTGTTGATTGTGGTTTTAAATGTCATGGGTGGTTTAAAACTCCTCATTTTGGCACCTTTATGACAGTACTAGAATCTCTTTATTTTCGAAGAAAATCCTCTTTTTCTTTCTCTATTAACTGTTAATATTCTTAGTACTGATTCGGTTGGTGTTTGCTTCTATATAAAACATAAACTATGTTCTCTGGTCCATTATGTGCTCTTTTCTATATTATAACCAAGATAAATCTGGTATCTGAAATCTTTTCACTAATGAATCTTCTTTTGTTAATAAAGAAAAGATGCGTCCAACTTGAAACTATGTACTTTACACTTGGAAGTTCGATCTCTTTATTTTTGCCCAGCAAATGCATCTCTCTCCTCTTTACTGAGCAAAGACATATAACGTAATTACGTGCTTTTGTGTATTCTTAGTTGTTTGCTGAAGTCGAAATTAATTAGCAAAACTCAGGATTCGGGATCGAAGATCAAGTCTACGGAAATAGGTAAGGTAAAAGGATATCACCAAAATTTTAGTAACAAAACCAAAATTCAGGACTTATATACATATTCCAATTATTCAACGTAACAAGAACGAAATTCTTCTACAAGGAAAAAATGTCTAAAGTGAAGACTCAACAAACATAATGTGTGAACTATCAAAAGTATAATCCTTCCTATGATATTATCATCAGCAGATGATTCCTGATCTGTTCTATCATCAGGAAAATGATTTTTCGAAAGTAAATCCCTATAAAATCATCAAAAGATGATTGACCCTTCTAGCAAAATCATCAGAAAAATGATACCAAATCTAAGAAACCAGCCAACTCGTAGAAAATATCATCAGCAGATGACCCATAAATCTCACTTTGATATCATCAGGAAGATGATGTACTCACTCTGCAGACACCTTTTAACTTGTTTGCTCCCTAACTGTGGATCATCGCATTGACATTAAAGTCTTTACCCTTTTCTCCCTCTCTTCCCTTTTTGCACGAGGAGTGCTCTTCAATTTCTGGATCTCCTCCATCACAATCTTCTCCACTATGTCAATAGAATTGAGTAGCTTCTTCTCGGGTGTGATGAACCCTGCTTCATCTTCCTCAGATACCTCGTTACTGATGTCAAGCAACATCTTATGGACTTTAGCAGTTGACGGTGGGCAACTACGCTTGTATCCAACAGCTGGACCAGGAGTCACCATTAAGCATTTGTCTTCACCTGCTGGAGATTCAAGAACACCAACTTGTTGGTGAGTTGGGATCTCAATCTCTTGGCCATCGCCGCCTACTCCCATACCAGCTCTTCTTCTCCTCTCAATAGCCTAAAATTGGAATAGTGTAAACAGAATCAATCGCCAGGCTAAGCAAGCCTTTGGCAACAAACTTTATGATTCAGCTAACACAGAAAGGCTAAGCAAGCCTTGACTCCTAATTCAGCTGAAGAGAAGGACTACGAATACCAATGAGCACACTAAGACTCGGCAAAACCATTGTCCAAACATTTAATTAAGCTGCAAAAACCCATGCCAGACCCCAAAAAAAAAACTGATTATATGCAGAAGAATGAGAAGGTAAAACACACAAAAAGGGTTTGGTCAATTTACCCGAATGATATGAGTTATATCGCGTAGAGGCGTTCTTGGGTACCAAGAAGGCAAGACACTGGGTGAGGCACGACCTCTTCCACGCCTAGCAGACACCATAGGCAAATTCTCTCTTCCCTGTGGAAATCTCCCATTGCCATTACCAGGCCTCCATGAACTGAAATTGCCTCTCACAAGCCCGCTTGTCCCAACCAAAGATCCTCGGCCAATGGAGCCATGTTCTGGATTCACCTGAGAATCCGACGGCAATCTCTGAACTGGACTGAGCCGTGAGGTTGGCTCGTCGAGTAACACACCGTGACTGCGTCTGTTGACAAATATCGCCGAGTAATCCACTGGCCTCTCGGTTCGGTCTCTTGCTTCTGGCATTGTTTCTGAAACAAGAACACATAATCGATTTGAGAAATCCCTTAAAGACTCAAACATATTCGAAATCCATCTGAGAAACCCTAGGAAATTATAGTCGGAGTCAGAATCTCTCAATTAACACGAAATTAGCGGCAGAGAAACGAATTGCAGAAACCTCAAGAAACGGAGAACACAAATCTTCTTTACCCAAAGCCATAATTGAAAAACCCCACCAATTTTCGAATCAAATCATTTCACAAGAACAATATAAAACCCCCCAGTCATGTGTCTACTCAAATCAACTAGAGAAATTATAGAAAAGAACCATAGATTCTTTACCTCTGAATCTTCCTTCAATAAACAATTGATGAACTGAACTCGAAGAGCGGCCTCGTCAAATGTGTAGAGACAATGAGAGAGAAAGAGAGCTTTCTGGGGGAGAGTGACGATCTGGCATTCTTTGAAGGTCGTCTCCTGAGCGGGATTATATTGGGGAAACAAATCAAACGTTGGCACGTGCGAGAGCGAGTCAGTCTCTCACATCACATGTGTGCATAACCATTTCAAATTTCCAATGTGAGGCGGGATAAGCAAACACCTACCGTTCCTAGTCTGTGAGATTACAACTCTGCCCTTCGAAAACCTAGTGTAATTGTTGTCTGCATACGAGCCTATCTGAATTTCCGTGCGCCTTGCCAAACTAACCAGATCATCACCGTTCACGGTCACAGATCTGACCGCTCTTTGCCTAATAAGTTAAATTAATAACACAAAAGTAATTAGGGAATAATCTTCTGCGGACGAATTGTTTCCATAAAATATAGCCTACACCTACATCTAATCTAATAAAGGTTGATTTTCAAACCGCATAATTAATAAATATGGAAACAAATATTAAACCTGATCTTTAGAGTGGTTGTTAATTACATCATTAAATTACAGTTTCAAACTACATATAAAAACTATCTATATCTTTAACGGACCACAGTTTTAAAATTTATTCTTTAACGTTGCATATTGGATCTGATTTGTTTTTATTCGGGGCAAAAGACGTTGATCTTAACAACTTTGGCTCTATGTCATAAACAAGCAACTTTTACTGTGAACATGAAAGTTAATAAGACATTGATTTATTTTTTATTATATCATTACATAACATATATATATATATATATATATAAGTTGATATTTTTATGTATCCCAAGGATAACAAAGATCATATTTCCCGGTTTGTGCATTGAGAGCACAAGGTCCGCTCCTTCTGATGGACCAACGGCAGTATTGGCACTGATAATTCTTAACATTATCTCTGTTATCTCTATAAATATCAAAATGATGCGTTTCACCACCAAATTGAAACGTACAAGCCCACCGGGTTTGTCCCCAGAAGCTTTTCCTGAAATCAGCTACCCAAGCCCAATCGCCCGCTGCAGCCTCTCTGTGAAAAGGCAAATAATTTGACGAACAACTATAATATAGCCTCAAACCACTGTCGATATTGTTTGTGATGGATACATATATTCTTGGTAGAAAATTCCATTTGTATATATCCCTTCCCATTACTACTCCAGCTTTTCCAGATATTGCTACTCTCACGAGCAAAGATAGTATGATCAGAGTTATCAGTTTCTTATTGGAATCCATCATGTTACTACGTTTCTTTCTTTATTCATTTTTTGTAAGGACTATTAGTTCATATTTATAGCGGAAACAATTTCTGTTGTAATTACTATAGGTGTTTTTTTTTTGTTCTTAACTTGTAACGCTAGCTAGCTTGGTGATTTTTTGTTGTTGTTGTTTCTATTGCTAAATAAAAATCGCTAGTCTTAAGTAAAAGCTTGCCACATCATTTGCTGTTTCGTTTAATTAAAGCTTAAAAGTGTAGTTTTTTTTTTTGGGTATTAAAGCTCATGTTATAGACACCTTTTGTTTTAACGTTTGCAATAGTCTGTTCAGTATATACAAAGAGTACGTAAATAATAAGGTTAATAAAGACAAGGTTCGAATTTTACGTAATTTGACATTTTTTAGATTATAGAAGAAGATAAAGGCTAAAACCAAGAAACAATAAACTACTTTCTTACGCCGCAAGAAATCGCTGACAAATTGATAACATAAGGAGAGATCACCTGATGATTAGGAACCCTACGCCCTACGACATGGCAAAAAAAAACTCCTACAGAAGCAAAACATGTCGTGTGCATGAATTTTACACTCAACGGATATGCCAAAATTCTTACTTTCTTAGTTATTTCGAACTTGCTCAGTCTAATTTGATTCGGCCGAGATTTTCACACACTGATCTCATCCTAGGACGAACCTCTGGATCCGTTTCCGTGCAGTTCAAGGCGACATAAATGGCTGCAATGACTTGCTTATCTCCATAACCTTTGTCTCGAATCTCCGGGTCTAAAATCTCAGCCAACGGCTTCTCTTCCTTAACCCAATTCCTCATAATACGCACGAGTTCCTCGCCATTGTTTACAGAGGAAGCATTTGGTAACCGACCAGTCAACAACTCCATTAGGACAACCCCGAACGAATAAACATCGCACTTCTGAGATAATTTGCAACCAGAAGCAGCTCGAGCCTCGGGTGCAAGGTAAGCAATTGAGGGAGCTGTGATTCGTGTCACCACTGCACCGGAGGTTGAAAAGGTTTGGTCTAGGCTTTGCCTTTTGGAGGATACCGAACCGGTAAGTTTTGAGTAACCTGAGACTAGACGTGTTAAGCCGAAGCCTGAGATGCGAGGCTGTAGTTCATCATCGAGCAGGATTTTGGTTGATTTTAGGTTGCCATGGACATACTTTCTCGGGCTGTACTCGTGTATATACATCAACCCGCGAGCAGTTCCTTGTGCAATACGTAACCTTTCAGGCCAAGAGAGTGAAGGCAGAGTACTCGAAGGTCCTCCTCCTAGAAACAAAATCAAAAAAGCCAACAATGAAAATAAGAATTGGCGCAATTTCAACTTTATGTTCAAATCCGGAAAACAAGAAGAAAGATCCAAGTTTGTCTCAAACTACAACAGTCACCAGACATGTGAATTTTTAAAAAAATTGAATGAGAAAGGAACAAAAAGAAGACGCCAAATACTTATAAATCAATCAAACAAGACAAGTAACTCTATCTTTATGGATCCACCCATCAACTTGTTCATAAGCACTAACTCCCCAAATAAACCCAATCTTGTCTCTTTTTTCAACATCAAATTCACACACATTATAAACGTAAGCAAAATGACAAACAGATTAAAAAAAATTCAAAATCAAAATTGAAATTAGCATATCATAATTAGTGATTAACTAATGAAGATTTACCATTACCATGTAAAGCAGAGTACAAGCTTCCATTGCGTATGTAATCGGTGATCAAGAGCCTCTCGTCCTCAGCATAGTAATAAGCTCTTAGCCGTACGATGTTCGGGTGGTGAACCCTACCGATCGCCTCCACCTCATTCTCGAAATCCCTCCGCCGCCACGTGGCGTCTCCGTCGCTGAGCCTTCTTACGGCGAAGACGGTGGGTGTTGAAAACGTCGCCCCCACAGTACCCGACCCCATCCCGGCTACTACTCTGTACACAATCCCACTTCTGCTCTTTCCAACAACGTAAGCCGATGCTCTCAGCAAATCCTCGAGCTCGAGCTCGAATCCTTCGTCTATCGCCACGAATTTACTTTCCTCCTGCTCATCAAACTCCATCGGCGCCGCCGTGTTCTTCTCTGTCGTGGATTTCTCCGATTTGCATCCGATGGAGCTCCGTTTTCTTCGAATCAGCCATACGGAGAGAGACACCGCTCCGATTACGACGGAGACTCCGGAAATTAGGGAAACCGTCACGGATCCGGTGATCGGCTTATCCTTTGATTCGTCCTTGTCGATGAAGCTAGGGTTTGGTTTTCTCTGGAGGATTTGCGAGCCTTCCGGTTTGGGAGAGACGAGCTTAGGGTCTTTGCATGGCTTCTGTAGAGGAAAACCACAGAGATCAGAGTTTCCAGCGAACGCGGTTGGTCCCTGGTTTAATAGAGAGCCTGTCTGAGGGATTTTTCCGGTGAGATTATTGTGGCCTATGTCTAAGCTGACGAAAACCGGGAATCGGCCATACGACGGTGGAATTTCGCCGGAAAATCGGTTGTAAGAGAGGTTTAGTGTGCCGACGAGGCTTCCGAGATCAGTGAGTGACTCGGGGAGTGACCCGTTCAGGAGATTGGAGGAGAAATCGAGATGAGTGAGATTCTTCAGGGCTCTAATTTGGGCCGGGATTGGGCCCGAGATTGAGTTGTGAGAGAGATCGATGTAACGGAGGTTAACGGCGTTGAAGAGACGAGTCGGAACGGGTTTCGAGAAATTGTTACGAGCGAGCTCGAGCCTTACGAGCGAGTCGAGTAGCCCGAGTTCAGAGGGAATGTAACCCGATATTCTTCTTCCGGAGAGAACGAGAGAGGTGACTCGGCCGCGAGTGCAGACGATTCCAGGCCAGTGACACGGAGTTGGGTCGGACTCGGACCAGGAAGTCATCACACGGGTCGGGTCGTTCTCGACGGCGGATTTGAGAGCAAGAAGAGACAAACCATCGTGATTTAGCGAAGAGGATAAGCTGATGAAGAGGAAGAAGGAAGAAATTAGAAGTGAAAGAAGTCTAAGAAAGTGCATTTTCTCGGTAGAGAATCAGGATTATGAAAAACTTGTGAAATATCGTTTTTTTTAATCTAGAGATTATTTCTTGTAAGTGATGGTGCAACGAGGAGTTGCAGAGAGGGAGAGAGGGAGACGAGAGAAGAAGACGACGAAGGAGAAGAATTTAGGATGATGGGTTCCAATGTAGCAACGTGGTGTAATGTAGACATGGGAAAGATTTTGAATTTTTGTGGGAGCTTAAAGTGTTGGAAGATGAGCTTCGGACATAAATTTGAAAATAATACTATTATATTACTGTTAGTATTTATTTTGGTTATGGATTTGTTAAATCCAATGTTTTCTTATTAGTCATTGACTGAGCAGGTGCGTTGTTCTTATACAAATGTCTGTGATTTTTAAAATTCTACGTTTCTTTTATAGTTGATTTTTTAGGTTTTTTTCTTGTTTTATAATATTTGATTTCCTACATCTAATTAATGCAGGTTTCTTCTTTAAATTGAATGAATAATATTAATGCATGTTGCTTTACTCCATTAATGCACAGTTAAAAACGAAAAGTAATAATAAAAATAATGAAATCAGTTGTAAAAGTAACTTAATTAACAAAAATAAACAGTAAATAATTGAGCATTTATAGTTTTCTTAATCTGTAAATATTCAAAAAATCAACTATAATGAAACAGAGGGAGTATATTTTTTGGCAAAAAGATGATGATGTCGATGATCACTGGATTTGGTTTTTTTATTGAAAACGGACATGAGTAGGCTTTTCATTACTCGGAAGTCGATACTCGCGCGACAGTGCAAGATTTTGAAATTAGATTTGTATTAGTACTGCTAATTTAATGTGATTAAGGCTATAACTAGCAGCTAGTAGTAACACTATTTGTCTTCATCAGCCAAAGATAAGGTTAAAATTGATATGGTCATATTATTATCTTAGGCTATCAATATTGAGAAAGAAAACTAATTGGTGCGGTGGGTTTACTGTTTTATCAACTAGATAAGTTCAAAATAATTAACTAAAATTAAGTACATTTACTAGTTTGTATTACAGCTAATACCATTCAAATGATGAAAACTACATTGACCTATATGGCTATATCATTCATAATCGATAAACAAGCTAGGCTAGTTTTTTTTACTCGTCACCGACGTCACGAACTCCATTATTATTAAAGCAAATTTAGCTGATTCGGTGATTGTCTCAGAAAGTATATCCTACCAACCATTCTGACTTACATGGAAAATAGATAGTCTTGTACTCGTATTCCCTCTGCAAAAGAGTCGACACGTATATTTGAACTGCAATGAATTAAAGATATTTTTAAATCGATACTAAAACTATTAAAAGATACTTCCGACTTGAAAGACGACCAATTCACCGAGTTTTCAATCATTTATAGCAAATTCAAACAATCCGTCTAAATTCTCAGATTCTGATTAGCTAGTAAACACTTCGAGTAAACCATATTAATTTAGAGTTCACTATAATCAGAGTAAATCTTTATTTGTTGGCAACTGTTTTATATTATTATTAGCTGAAATCTACTTAGCAAAAGTGAGAATATTTAGGCTAAAAGATACGAGTCCTTACCATATTCTTTTACTTTATTTTCCACTTTTTCACTTTAAAATGTATACCAGTCAGAGTCTAATTGATATAATATGGTCCTTCATTAGAAACAAAATTGCTCAAAATAACTCGTCCAACTCCGCATGTAAAGCCGAAAGATTTCTGCATAATCCTTGCATCAACCTTATTTTCAAAAAAATAACTTCAAAAATTAACTACAAACAACGAAATTAGTGATTACTATCCTACAGTTATTACATTCAAAGGACTAAACATACATATGGCATAAATGATAATCAGTAAATATGTTGCTTTTAATTTCATTACTAAACGCTGCCTTATGTGCGCTTTTGAATACTGAGCCGCATAAGTAATCCTATTACTCAGGTTTGGGAGGTGAATGGGCTTTATGCATTCATGTTTATTGTGTTTGATGATGCGTTTAACATTACTGTTAGAATTTTAAGAATTTAATACTGTTAGATTGTTTTCCTCTTTTAACATTTAACATTTAACAATATTGTTAGATTGTTTTCCTCTTCTTATCTGCTTTTACATTAAATATCTATTATATTAAAACAGAATCACTTTTAGTAATTGCATCCAAATACTTCTAAAGTTTTTTTTTAAAAAATAATTATTTGAAAACAGTTTTAAAATTCAGTTTTAAAATTATCCTATTTTGTTGTGATATTAACTTTAAAAATATATTTTCTTTTATATATAAAACTAATTTCGAAAATGAGATATCAATTTAGATAATTAAAGATTTTCTTAATATATGTTATATTTAATTTAAAATTTAAAATATTTTAAAAATTCCATTTAAATTTAAGTCTAAAAAATTAGATATTAGGTTAAATTACTTTAGACTTTTTTAAATATAGTTTAGATTTAATTTAGCATTTGAAATTCAATTAATATTTTCATAATAACATATGTGATTAATGAATATGTTATTGTATTTCTTTAATCGTAATCAATCAGTCAAAAATTTTACAAATTGAAAATTGATAAATATTTATATTATATGGTAATTTGATGGGATGGATTAGGTTTTTTTTTATAAATGTGGTTTTATGCGGGCTAAGTTATCATAATATGCAAGATTAAACGAAAAATTATTTCAAAATTAATAAATATTTATATTATATAGTAATATGAACGGACGAGTTAAAATTATGTTTTTATAATCACATTTTTCTCAGATTAATAGAATGAACGAGTTAGAATTATATTTTTTTTAGTAACTATCATTTTTCAATTAATAGATTGAACGGGTTATAATTATTTTTTTATAATCGTGGTCATAATAATATTAAAAAAAATTAAATAAAAATTATCTATAAACAAAAAAAATAAAAATTTGTCACTTATTAAAAAATTTATATCTATAAATAAAATATAAATTACACTACAAATTTGATCAAATGCACGGGGTAAAACCTAGTGTTTATTTAAAAGGAATTAAATTCGGTGACAAAAAAAACACAAATAATGTCATAATGAAAACTAGACCAAATAATGTCATGGAAAGGTTTTTAATTTTTTTTTAATCTGAGTTATCTAATTTTTTTCCATATATAAATTTTCATGGAAAGTTTTTACTTTTTTTGCATTGGAAAATTTTATACCAAATCTCAACAATGTCATTGCAATAGAACTATTCCATATGTGTGTATATACATATATAGGCATGCTTCGTTTTTATTTTTCAAATATTTTCAGTCTTCACAGCCCGCCACCAAAAAACTTGATTATCACAATTGATATTATTTAAAAAATGGCTGTGTCAAAACTTCAACTTGCAGCTCTTCTCATCACGTGTTGTCTCCTATATACTGCCGAATCTACACGTAAATACTTTATTTATAATTCGTCTCTCTATTTTTATTTTATCATCAATTACAGTCTTCGCATGAATTGTTTTTCAATCCCCCTTCTTAACATATTTCGCAGGTAAAAAATATTGTAAACTAATGATCATAATTGTTTATTTATTTTGAATTGTAATAGCATTCAAGACACAAGAGTTCAAGACACATGAGTGTAACTTCAGAGATGCGTGCAATACGGACGCCGATTGTAAAAGTCGATGTGGATCGTCTGAATTCCCACCAGGGACTATTGGTAAATGTGTGATCAATCATGTTGCTGGTGGACATTTTTGTTGTTGTACTGTTGCTTAATTATCCCAGTAATCATTTGAGCAAAACAATCACTATAAATTAATAAAAACTGTTGTTATTTCTCCGTGTTAGTAGCATCCAAAAATTCTCTAAAACCATTCAAAGAAAATTTAACCAAAAATAGAGAGGATTAAAAAAAAAAAACTAAAACCACTTATCAAAAAGCATTAGAAATTATATAGTTACTTTAACAAATCACTAAAAATATATTCTCGAACTTTAGCAATTTAATTCACGTTTGGCCACAGAGATATAAAACTTTGTATTATCACGATTTGACAATGTGTGGCACACAAGCTATGATTTGAAACGAGCATATATTTGAAATTTTATTCGAATTAAAAAGTGAAAAAGTACATAAAAGGTAACATTCTACAAGACATGCCTATAGATTGTGGTTGTGTCAGAAAAATAAAAAAAAAATCATCACCACCTGACAAAAGTAACCAACACAAAGATGCTTACGAAGATCCCACTATCTGTCCTCAACAACAACTGTAACGGAGGGTATTTTTCGTAATTCTTGTCCATAAAGAAGGGACTGTCCACGCTCCTTTGGATATTGCTAAAGTTTGGATTTTGGAGCTTTACCCTCGTGTATCAAAAGAGCATCGTAATGACCAAAACCATGGTATAGGACTTGGATCGGATCTTCATTACCGTATTCTTGACCGTACTCCGCGATACTTATCAATCCTCCAGCCTTCTCGTCCTTCATGTACACCGTGATTGGCATCCTATGATCATCAAACAGCAAACACATCTCTATTTTTTTCATACTTTCCTAACAAAAAGCATCAATCTTTTGAAGATTAATTAATGATATGCTCAGCTCGTTTTTTGTTAGATTTCAATCTAGGATGCTTATAAGAAACTGATATAAATCAAATCACGGAGAGGAAGTTACTGGAGGACGTGTGAAGCCATAAATAGTTCAGGTTCACCTCCCCACACGTGTGGCTCCCTAATTTGTGTGACGTATGTGTCAAAATCTCCTTCCACAAACCTGATGAGGGACATCAGGTTTAGCCATATAGTGTTTGTAATTTCTGGGGTTGCAGAAAATAAGATGGTATGATCTCAAGACTCTTCTAAGATCCGTAAAAAGAGATTAGCAAATGTGTTATGAAAGTTTAAGACCGGTCCCCATGAACCAATGGGCTTAAGAAAATGGTACGATAATGAAAAACTAACCATTCTGTTTCCTGTCTTCTATTGACAAATTCATCAGCAACCTGGCATATTCAAGATGACTAATGAAATGGGATATCTTGATAGATGTAATATAAAGGCTTTAGGCTTTGATGAATCAGAGGGAAAATACTAACAAAATCATATGAATCCTAATTCAACCATTTTTTTGGGTTGTAGAGTAGTACAAATAAGAACTTTTAACCAGATACTTACTCTAGTACGTAATTCATCAGCGAGTTCTCTCTGTCTGTTCTCGCTTGGAGCCAATTTTCCGGAGCGTAAGCAAAACCCATGAGCCACTGAACGAAACAAACATCTACCATCCCCAGGTACACCTACAGATCATTACCATTTTCAGGTTCAACAGATGTCTAACATAAAAATAAGACAAGTGATCTAATTTGGGTGAACAAGACTTACCAATGATGGTGTAATCTGTGTATACTCTTTTCCCATTGTAGAATTTACCATCAGAAGACTTGTTGTTATATACTTTGTTGTTGTTGTGGTTGCTTTTAGCATTATTATCCCTTGAAGCTTCTGCATATGCTGATTGGGAAGATGAAGAATAACAAACAAGCAAGCTAACAATCACACCTGTATAAGCAAATCTTGAATACCAATACAGATTTCTCATATTGGATTTGGGGCTGAAGAAAGAAACTTCAAGCTTTCTTTTAGGACCAACTGTTGATCGATTAATCAATAGCGAGCCACAACGTCCTTTATCTGACCAACTAGAAAGTCTATTAGAGACCGATACACCAGAACCAGTAAAATCTCTTTTCGAAATCCCCGAGAACAGACTGTAAATGCGGAAATTGTATGATCCTTGAGCCACTAATTGCCTCTTGAGATAGATAGCATTCCTAGAACATGTTGTGATTGGAATGTAACAACTCATCATATCCTTTTCATAAATCTAATACGAATTCCCCCAAATGTTCAAGAGAGATTTCAGATACCTACACAAAGAAACAAAGCAATTTCCAAAACCTTTCATATAAGCTGATCAAATGATTCCAAAAACAAGAACAAAAAAGATCATTACTTGATAATAAAATCTACTTCAAAAATCGCAAAAACAGCGAGCTATATAATTAAAACTTCAGCCCAAGAACTGAAAATGAGCAGGTAATTGCTCTAAAATCCATAGAAATATTTTCAGTAGAATCAATAAGCAATTCATATATCAGAAATGTTACCCCAGAAAACAGAACGAACACAAAATCCGTAAACTTATTGAAAGCGAATAAACGCAGGAAAAAGAATTCAATTGCGTATACGTGACTAGAGAAGCATCGCGAGAGAACACGAGAAAAGAGTGAATATAGTATTACAAGGTCGCGAAGCAAAGAATACCTCAAGGGTATTTATTGTACTCAACTCAGATTTTCCGACAAAGCAAGAAACCGATGTTAGGTCAGAGTACGAGGTGTGTGATTTGGAACAAAACAAAGCTGAAATGGTTCTTTTATCGCAAGG